TTTTAGGCAATTACTTTCCCTATAATTCATTTCCTTTCCACCAATTTTTCACCCTTACAATTAAACGGATCCTAAGTGTCAAATGTAGGGACGTTTTGTGCTTAAAGCTTTTGGACTCACTTGCACTTTTTAAAAAGTTTGAGAGTATAATTATAATTTATTTTTTATTTTTAGTTTCCTTTTTTGTTTATAGATATAGAAGGGTATATTTGTCATTTTATACTAAAAAACAGTGAAAATGAGGTTTTCCGCAATAGAACGTTGAAATAAGGACGAAAATGCAAAAAAAATGAAACGTATGAACGTTTTGCACTCTACATGTCAAATGTAGAAACGTTGTGTGCTACTAAGCCATTTTTTTACTCTAAACCCTAAACCATTTTTTTACTCTGACTATTACTATTTTATGTCAAATTCTCTCCAAAAAACACCAACTTGGAGCAAATAGTTTAACGCTACCTAATCACACGGTTCACACCCCAATCTCTCTCTCCATCATTTACACAGCAAAACCCTCCCTAACACCCCCACTCCAACTCCCCCACGCCAACCTCTCCCCAGCCCAAATGCTGATCCGACGCTCGCTTCTGAACCGAACCCACCTTCACCATCACCTCCGGCGCTTCTCCACCGCCGCCCTCCTCCAAGAACCTACCCCCACTTTCGACCCCACCCAGCAACTCACCTACCTCGACAACCTCCCAAGACCTGACCCCAAGTACGATGAGATCATTCACGCTATCCCTCGCGCAATCTCCGGTAAGAATATATCGGCCAAGGAGCGTAAAGCCGGCCGCGTGCCCAGTATTGTTTTCGAGCAAGAGGATGGCCAGCACGGTGGCAATAAACGACTTATTTCGGTACAAACTAATCAGATAAAGAAGCTTGTGAATCATATGGGCCAGTCTTTCTTTCTTTCCAGCCTTTTTGATCTGGAGGTCCGGCCTGAGTTCCAGTCCGATGAGCTCATCGAGAAAGTCCGGGTCTTGCCCAGAAAGGTATAAACTTGATACTTATTGTCTTGTCCAGTAATTTAATACAATCGTGTGGCAATTTCGCATAAAGGATATGATTATATGATCGTCTAATTCGTGAATATACATTTTATTTGTGTGTTCGAACTGTATTGTCCGTAAATAGTCTTTGTTGAAGCTGATGGGCTAGTGTGTTTTCTTTAATGGGTCTGTGTTGTGAAATTGTTCATGTAATGTGGGTTCCCATTTGAGTTATGTACCTCTTTGCCATATAAAAGAGCTCCCAATGATGATTTATATGGTTGTCTAAGTTCCAGAATATCTTTTATGTACTTCTACAAATTGTAATGTCCATGTAGTGTTTCTTGAAGATGATGGCCTGTATGTTATTTTAATGAATGTGTATGAAATTTTTATCGGTATTGTGGGTTCCCATTTGAGTTGTGTACCTCTTAACATAGCAAAAGTGCCCCAACGATGGTTTTTAATTTACATATGGGCGGCTTACAGATGAAAGCTCAGATTTGAAGTGTGATGGATACTTGCATATTAGAGACTAAGCATGGAATCAGAAGAAAGCACAGATTTGAGTATTGTTGTGTGTAGTAATAGCTTGAAGTACGGTAGAGCTGTTATTAGATGGAAGAAGAATGCTTAAATAACTTGCAGAAACTTATTGCAGAGTATTGGTAATATGTTCCAGCATAATAAAATTAGTTGTAAGCTCCTGCTTCATTTGCAAAATTTTTGTCACATAAATTGGGAGATTTAAAGTTGAAAGATTAGTATTCTTGCGCCTACAAGCATTTACCCTTTCGCTATCGGGAAAGTTTCAAGTGTTTCAAACTTTTTATACTATAGCTTCAGGAAATTCTTAATGTAAAGCATTGTTTCCTTTACCCCCTATAATACTTTGTTATTGCTTACCCTAAAAAAGGTTCCATCATTATTACGTGTTCAATTCATTTTAAATCGATGATAATATAATAAATCGACAGAGAATTGCCACTTTATGCTCTGAATCTGGTTTTACTGTGATCTTCAGAAGGATGACTTTGTAATTACGAGTAATGATATTGATTGTGAATCAATAAAGGGGAACTAGTTTGTATTCACTTAAAATTATATTCATAGCCGTACTTTTCTAAGGTACCAAAAGGATCTTTGTATGGGAACTTTCATTATATATGGGGCAATTTAGATAGGATTAGCATGCCCCTGTATCAAAATGGCTCAGACTAGTTGAGAAAAACGGCCCAAATTAGGTTCTGTTGAAGGGAATTCTGATGATTAAGATTTGTTCTATAATGTAAATCCTTTCAAGCACATTATGTAATGTATATACATTTAGAATTGTGGGGTTTTGTACACTAATTTAATCTTTCTTGATTGTATCAGCTTCATCTACATGCAGGCACAGATGCGGTGCTTAATATTACCTTCATAAGAGCTCCATCTAGTGCTTTGTTAAAGGTTGATGTTCCCCTTGTTTTCAGAGGAGATGATGTATCTCCGGGGTTGAAAAAAGGTATGTAGGAAAAAGAAATATAATCCCTAGTACCTTGTTTTCCTAGAGTGATAAAATGCTTATATTCATTTAAGGTTCTTCCTTTCTTATTCACTCGACATCCAACTTCATAATGAGGATGTTTGGCTAAGCTTAAAATTATGTGGAGACAAGTTTTCAAAAAGGTTACTTTTGAAGGAACTTTTATGAATAGCATGAAATAAGTCATAAGTTAACTTACCTTAAAGCATCTTTTATCGGACTTCTACTACAGCACTTTAATTTAGATAAATTTAGATTGTTAGGATTCTGGTTTTGAGTCAATATCTCATAGAATTCATTTGAATCTTTTAATACTGACCAACTAGATCAAGGAGTTCTCTAGATGGTTGAATGAGGCATTTCATGGCAAATAGTTATGGTGCTTGCTTAAATGGAAGTACTGTGTCATGATTTACACAAATAAACTGGTATTATTAGGTCTTGTTTCTTCATGGCTTTTGTTGTTTTCTCTCCATTAAGAACTTTGACTCTTATGAGAATTGGATACAATCTCTTTAGAAATGTGTTTCCAAAGTGTCCATAACCAAGCAGGTATATCGATGTTTTTAGCTATTCTATTTTTGGCTAAATGGCTTGCATAAAGTGGGTTTTAAATTTTATAGCACTCGTTTTTTAGTTAATGATAGTAACCGACCCCAATTCTATTTGGAATAATGCTTAATTAGTTTTTTAATTCTGGTTATTAACAACACTTTTTTGTGGAGTCTCATGAAGCTATAAATTGACGAGACTTGCATAAGACTTCATAGAAGCTAAAATTATTCATTGATGTTAAGCCTTTTGATGCAGCACGATTCACGAAGTGAGAAATAAACACTATCAAAAAACTATCCTAGATACGCTTTTATTACCGTAGTAGTGTATGACTAGTTAGGACTTGCGAAAGTTTAAAATTTTGTGGAAAGAGTGACACCTATTTATGTAAAATTTAAATGTCCAAACAACATTATCCTATTAGGCTAATACTATAAACATCAAAGTTATCCCCTGTTTCCATACTTTTTAGCTTTAACAGGATAACTAAGATGAGTTCACTTGGTGTTTTATAGACACTGATGAAATAGTTTTAGTTGATGAGGCTAGGATGAGAATAAACTGAAAGTTAGAACTTTGGATGAGTACTTAGAAATCTTAAACTTTTAGGTTAGCAGAACTAAGACGTAATAAATGGAAGTTCCTTTTATTCTGGACTCAAATGCATGGAAACTTGAACAAAATATTCATGTAGTGTATTAATTGATGAACACGTTGGGAAAATGCTATGTACATCTACAATTTTTCCCCTCTTTTGCCTTTCTCTTTAGCATATTCCTTTCATGTGTATCTTTTTACGTTGTATTTAGGCCTAGGCCAAAAAAAAGGAAAAACTGATCAAACCGAACTGGCTCGGGTTGGTTTGATACTGGTAATTGGTTTGGTTTGGTTTTTTTTTTTTTTTTAAACAAAATCGTGGTGGGTTGGTTCAGTCATGGTTTGAAACATCAACCAAACCAACCCAACCCAACCTACTTACATGTTTACCTTTTATGTTTTTTTTAAGAAAAATAAAAATCAAGGATAAACCTTAATCTCATAACTATATCTCGATTCTCTCCAATCTAGGATGTAGCAAATAAGTAATAGCATTGAAAATTTCCTTTCACAGGCTCATTATGTTGTACTTAAACTTTTTTACCTCCTTAGGCAGACTGGCTGTATAAAAAAGCAACAAAATTTTTAAGTTTTCTATTGGTCGGTTTGGGTTGGGTTTCTATCGTGAATGGGTTGGTTTCGATTTGAATTATTGTCAAATCAAACATGTTGGGTTGGACTCAAAACCAATTCAACCCAACCCACGCCCAGCCATATTACCAAATATGCCATCTGTCTTCTTATATAAATTTCACTTGACAAATCTGCAGGGTCGTATTTGAACATCATCAAGAGAACCGTTAAGTTCCTTTGCCCTCCTGATGTTATTCCCCCCTATATTGATGTCGATTTGAGCGAATTAGATGTCGGCCAGAAGATAGTGATGGGGGACCTTAAAGTTCATCCAGCTCTGAAGCTGCTAAAACCAAAGGATGAGCCAGTTTGCAAGATTGCAGGTGCAAGGGTTTCTGAACAAAAGAAATCCAAATAAACGCACTGCATTACACCCAATTTTTTCTTCAGGTAGATTTTTGTTTTTTTTAGTTACAATATTGACGATTATGGTTCTAGGCCTTGTTGAGTTGGCATAATTCTTCCATTTTATTATTTACTTTAGCTTACTGGAGAAATCCAAACGTGGAAGAACTTAAATTTTTCCTTATTTCATTGCTGGAGACGGGGAAGTGATTCGGTTTGGGTGCCTCTGCCAAAGATTTTCTCACGTTTTCATGTGCTCATTTTCGAGGCCTTAAAGCATGTTTGGCTAAGCTTAAGGAAAGTGTAGTATTTTTAAAGCAGTTTTTAACTTGGTCAAACATGTATAGTGTAACATTCGGTATTGTTTAAACTTGCAATTGAATCCGTTAACATTTAAATGAGCAATCTTATTTTAATATTAATGTTTCCATGAGCCATCATAGTGCATATGCATGTTAAGAAATAAATCTCGTATTGATTATTAAATATCAAAATAAGTAGATAAAAAAATAAACTAGATATTTATACATACAAATAATGTCGTCGTGTCACAAAGTTCAATAAATCCAAAAAAAAAAAAAAAAAAAATTCCATCGGAATCCGCCGAGAGATCGTCAAGAAATAGAATTGATGGCTATAGACCACGGCCGTGGACTACACTCTTATTAAAGAAAACACTTCGATAGAGTTTTCAATAACTCGATCATCACTCGACATGGATCTCTCAATCCATTTCGCTCCCTCAATTGCAGTTCAGATCCTGTACGACATTGGTAGCCAAATTAATCGACATGGTACAATTCATATCTGCAGATTTCTTCCTTTTTATAACCTTCATAATATGAACTTTTCCTTGCAATTTGGCCTCAACAGAGAGAGGCAAAACCCCAGAATTATTGCCTGAAGAAGAATTTATATCAGTAATAATATTAAGTCTTTTAGTTGATCGTGCCTTAGCCCTTGATTCTGGGATTACGAATTGCCCTATAGTCACATCCCCAGACTTTATAGTTGCTATGGCGTCATCAAATTTGTAGTGCCCAAAATTTCTGTTCCTTACAAGAACTCTTGCAGAAAACCTAAATTCACCGGTTCCGTTGGTGCTGCCGATGCTGACGTCTCCCAAACGGACCTGTTGGAGATAAAATTTGAATAAGTGAATGTGCATCGCTTTTAACCTTTCAAGCCTTTTGAATTTCAGGTTAAATATGTTATCAGAACACGTAAAGAGTTTTGAATTCAAATCTTACCATCACGTGAAAGATTGTGCACGTGTGTCTAACTAAGGCTTTAGTTGATTTAGTTTAACTCAGTATCAAATTAGTTTTTGTGTTGAGAATATTGTAGCTACACATTTATGAAAAATTGTGCATATGTTGTACTTTTGATGAATTCGACGTGCATGCCACGATGCATATTGTAGACGAATTTTAGATGGGGTAGTTCTCTACCTTTGGCGTTTTAATGCGCATCACAGTGAGAGCAAAGACGAGGATTATTATGGTTTGAAACACGGCAAAGAGAGCAATATACACAAAGCATTTCAGTCTCTTCTTCTTCTTGAGCTCATCGTTGTCTATTGTCCGGAAAGCAGCCGATTCTTCATCGCTTCGGGGCATAACGCTGGCCGGAGCCAGTGGATATCCCTGCTGATACTTCTCTGCAGCCATATATTCTTCTTTCTTCTTCCCGTAAACAAAAATGCTTATTATTTTCTTCTTGAAAGAATGCTGGAGGATATGATATGAATATGAATGTTTTTTTTTGGGACTACATAGTCGATATATATATGTATTTTTCTAAGTATTGAGGCAGGTTCGTGGAAAATCAGATTAATGTGACGCTTAGGAAAAAAGTGAAGAATTATATGTTAATTGACGCGTACTTCTAGAGGGCCTCATGACTTTGTTACCTTGTACCCTAAGGACAAGAAGCATGTACGGCATTAATGATTACAATCAAGAATCATGATACATTTACATCAGGTTGTACATTATTTTTGACATTGTATCACGTATTGATCCATAATTAAAATTTTTTTAAAAAAAACACACTTTCCCGCCAAAACTTTTTTAATTTGCACACAATGTACGCTAAGATGTAATAAATGGAATGTACAATTCAGAAGCTTTTATCACATAAATCAGTCAATTTTGTTGTATAGGCAAGTGTGTTTAATCATATTAAAGATTTGTTTGGGAGAGATTTTTGAAAATAATTTTTCATTTTCTCACTTTTTTTACAATACGTTTTTCAAAAATTCATTTTTCACTTGAAAAAACCTCTCCCAAAATAAATATTAAGGCCCCGTTTGATTGGCTGAATTTTTTATGGAACTAGGAAAATATTTTCAATTTTCCACTTTTTTGACTATTTGATAATTCATAATTAAGTGTAAAAAAAATTCACTTTCATGGAAAATTTTGATGCAGACGAAGGCCAAACGAATACTAAACTTTGATAAAAAAAATGATTTTTTAGGAAACAATTTTTTTTTTTTTAACTTTTTGACAATGAAAACAAATTTTATATCCAAGTGTGGAAAAAAATTACTTTAATAGACAATTTTCATGTAAAACAAAACCAAACGAATAGAAAATTTTAAAAATTTTCGGGTGTAAAATTATACCAATCAACACATTTAATTAACAATTCCTTGAAAAACAATTTCTAGACAATTATTTTTCCTAAAAATCATTTTCTTTCCACCTATTTTCCACAATTGCAATCAAAAGGACCCTAAGAGCTTGTTTGAGATAAATTAAAATCTAATTAAAATTGAAAATATGGTCGTTATCGAGTCCCACTCATCTAATAAAAGTCAATAATAACGGTTAGTTTTTCAATTTTAATATAGTTTTAATCTCTACCAAATGCACTCTAAATGTAGTCGAGATTTTTATAACTGTACTCGTGAAATATTTCTACGTCCTTTTTTTCCACTCTTTTTTGTCAGCTTGTTTTATTGGAAACTTTTTTTCCCTTCACATTTTCTTAAAACTTTTTCTTTTCTTAATTTTAATCTAGTTTTTTCTTTATTTTTTCTTTATTTTTTTATTTTTTTAAGTTTCACAAAGCATAGATGTATGATTATTCTTGTTGACCCCGAAAAATTGTTCGGACACGTGGCCAACATGATAAGTCTTCACGTCAGCTTCTCCCTACACATGATATCACACCGTTAGTCACCTGTGGCCTTTTCCGATGGGATTGAAAGCGATCGCGAGCACTCCGACGGTCAAATTAGTGTTTCAGCTAATCGGAAAGTTATGTCGGCGACGAGGTGGTCACCGGGATGTTTTGAATATACGTTGAAAATTATGATGTAAAGCTAGCAAAATTCAGATCCACTACTCTGGTATGGGGGTATTTATACTAGGAAAGGGAAGAGGTGGACCGTTGGATGAAGGGGCACGTGCCTTCAGATCTCGTATGAGTCATCATCTCATAGATGTCAATCTGTCAATCCATAGGTTGGTGGACATTAAATGGTTTCTGATATGTCGGCTGAATTGACCGTTTGTGACTTGCCACACATCCCATCAATCAGTCGGGACTTGACTTTAGAGATCTCCTAAAAGATCTTGGTGAGGGCGTGGCGAAGAGGATTGCGAAGTGCAAAGTGCAGAATACAGGCCTTTGCATCCGTCGTGAAGGGCGGATGAGTTCGGTTCTCCACAAGGAGGGGCAACCGTGTTTCAGTTCGGAGTTGTGGAATCAGTTCGTCCTTTATGCATTCAGTTTGTCTACCACGTGACATGCTAGATTGGTTCGGACAACACGTGGCCGATGAGGTGGGTGAACGAAGTGGAGGGCTTTAGAAGACCCGTAACAACAGTCCCTCAAGTCCTTATATATCTCATATAATGCATGGACTTTATAGAAGCGGTTGTTACGCTGTGGCAAGGCGAAATCCTGGCTGAAGGGCGAAGCAACGTGTTAGCAAATCTGAGGATAGTCGCTGCGGCGTCAGGCGCTGGGGTTGGTAACTCTGAGGAGAGTTTTTGCAACGTGAAGTCCTGGCTGAAGGATGAGGAGATTAGTGTTAGCAACTTTGAGGAAAGTTGTTGCAAGGTAAAGTCCTGGCTGAAGAACGAGGCGATTAGTGTTGGCAACTTTGAGGAAAGCTGTTGCAAAGTGAAGTCCTGGCTGAAGGACGAGGCGATTAGTGTTGGCAACTTTTAAGGAAATTTGTTGCAAGGTGAAGTCCTGGCTGAAGGACGAGGCAATTAGTGTTGGCAACTTTGAGAAGAGTGTTGCGACACTAAGTGTTGATACGGCCGAAATTTTGGGTTATATGCCAATGATTTGAAATCTTTCACGTCTTCCCAAGGCAATCGTGGGGAGGCGTTTGCTTGCTTCCAAGGCACGTCTCCCTTACCATAAATGGTAATGATGGTGGCAGCCTCCTGCTCCCAAGATAACGCGTCTTGATCGTGCGTGAAGCTCACCTCCTTATCAAGTCCCTCGATCCGTATAACTCGTGGTTTCAACGATGATCGTGGGTTTTGGATTTGAACGGTCCGATGCTGCTTGTGACGATCCAACGGTTGGGGTGAATCTTAAGATGCCTATATAAAGCTCGATCGTCTCACTTTTTTACTTTTTACCTTTGCTGAAATTTCAAAAGTGCCTTCGAACTCTCAAGAATTCACACTGCGATTTTCTTCTTCGGCGAGTAACTAGAGCTCCGACGAACATTTTGGGGATTCTGGTGAGGGACAAATTTTTTTTCGAACCTAGGTAACATTGCATCTTCTGTTTCTTTTCCTTTTTTCATTTTGGCAACTAGTCTTTCCACTTCTTCCTTTAGGGCTTCGTACCTTTTGGTATTTAATGCCCTTCGCTTCTGTCGATGAGAAGTACAGTTTAGGTCAATATGCAGATGGTGGTAGCTAACCCTTGGGTCTATTCATATCTTCGTATTTCCATGTGAAGACATCTGTGTTCTTTCTAAGAAAGTTCTTCAGTTATTTCTTTGTTTCTTCTTCCAACTTCTTTCAGACCTGAATGACCTTAGTTAAATCTAGCGGGTCTACTGGGAAACTTTTCAGTTCTTCCATGGGGTCAGTCTGTGATTCTGATTCGATAAATCAGGGATCCAGTTCTTCCAAGGGTATGTCCAGTCAGGCTTCTGCCATTATGCCATTCGACGTTGGGGGCTGTTCTCCGGGGGCCTTTGACATTTCTGCGTCGAACACCATGTTTAC